TAGTTACAAATCTCGAGGTCAACTGTATTCCCAAATATTTCACTTTTTTTTACTATTTGAATATCTAATTTCTCCATTATTTCTCTTTTTTGTTTTTCTGTTACATTTTTCACTAGAATTTTTGTTTTATCTTTATTAATTTTCAATCCTGCCACTCCTCCATATTCTTCTATTTGTTCTAGTAGTTTTGGACCTGTTTCTATTGGATCTTCAATAATAAATACCAAGTCATCTGCAAATGCTTGCAATTTATATTCTTCCTTTTTAACTTTCATTCCTTTTATATCTTTATCTTGTCTTATCTTTCTGTTCAAAACTTCTAGTATCAATATGAATAATAGTGGAGATAGCGGGCACCCTTGCCTGGTCCCTTTTCTAATCGGCACTTTTTCTGCCATATCTCCATCACTTAGCCTGTTGTTTTTTGTAAATAGTTTTAACCCTATTTATAAATCCCTCCCCAAAATCCATCATTTGCAGTTGTATTATCATTAATTGCCAATTTACATTATCAAAAGCTTTCTATGCATCCAAAAATAACAATGCCATTTGCTGTCTAACTGAACCATTTTAATTTCCAGTTTGCCAAAATCAATTACCACTTTTAGAATTAATTTTTTTATTTAGCTAAAAAAAAGCATATACATCAGCATAGAAATATGTTCCTAACTGTGAAAGTACCAACTTATGAAATGTACAAGAGTTGTTTTAAGATGGGGAACTGTACAAAAGTAACAAGTCAAACTAAAAATAATAAGCCAAGCAGGCAGTCAATCAACAGGTTTGTTCTAGTGATTAAGGCACCAAGTTGGAAACCAGAAAACTATAAATTCCAAACTTAGACATGAAAGCCCCTGTGTGACTATGAGACTTCAGTCTCATAGCCCAACTCACCTCAGAGGATTGTTCTTTTTGTTGGATAAATTGGAGAAATAAGGAATATTAGGTAAGTTTGGTACCCTGAGTTACTTCTAAAAATAATAAAGGTGGATACATACATACGTACATACTCTGTTTCACTGAAAATAAGACCTCCCCAGATAATAAGGACAATTGAGCTTTTGAGTGCATACACTAAAATAAGCCCTGCCCTGAAAATAAGTCCTCCCTGAAAATATTGTAACACAGCAGCAGCCATGAGGTGACCACGTTCGCAGCCTCATGCACCTCAAAAATAATAAGACCTCCACAAAAATAAGGCCAAGTGCTTATTTCGGGGATCAAAAGAAAATAAAACCCTGTCTTATTTTTGGGAAAAACACGGTATGTGTAATGTATGTATGATGCAAGCTCTGTCCTTTGGGACATTGCATGCAGGAACATAATGGGCAGAATTCAATTCATTTGCCTTCTCCAAAAGAGGCAAATTATTGTAATTCATCAAAGATTTTCTTACCTGCTGGATAAAATGTTTCAGAAGATTTTTCTAAAATCCCTGTTGGATCGGAGATAAGAGAATAAAAGTTCAACAATTTATACATATTTTGCCAGCACTCTGCAGAAGGCTCACTCTGTTCCGACACTGTAATTGAATCAGAGTCATCCATATGAATGGTGACATGGTCAACAACATCCCTGGAACCTTTTCTGGATACTTTAGAAGTCCTTCTTTCTGCCCTTCCCAGTGAATTTTTATTCCGAGATTCTTTTTTATTGTTCTCACTGTTTGATCGTTTATTTTTTGCATTGTTCACTCTGTTGACACCATTAAGACTGCCCCGAGAACTGCGGCTGAAATCGGAAGAACGGAAGTCTCTGTGTTTCCGAGTTTTAAAGGTTGGTGTTGGAGAAGCTGAGCCAGCTGTATATCTACTAAGTTTGATGTCTGTTTGTGTAGCTTTAATATCATCTATCATGGTGCTGAATTGGTGAATAAGTCGAACAAGTGCCATATCAACATGCTGGCTTATAGATTGACAAGAGATTGTAAAATTGCAATGAAATGTGCTATAATGACGTTTGTTAAAGTCATGAAAAGAAAGAGCATTGGTAGAATTTTGAGGTGTATTCACCGACTTCTCCATTATAACAGCACTAATACTAAAAGTTTCCAACATTAATGCTGGTTTGAATTCAAGTGGAGGAAGATTTACTAATCCTTGCCTAGGAAACAAACATACAAGAATTATTCTTACATTAATAACCATAAAAGCAACTGAAATTACATTATTTTGGTAACATTTCAGAAAGTGATATCCCAACTCCATGATTATCTAATTTGCCTGCTGTATGCCAATTCATAATTTTTTAAAGGGCTGCATTATTTCTGATTTCACGAAGAGGAAAATAAAAAAAATTTTTTAAAATGTGAAATGTATTTTTGGAGCTTGACTGTCATACCTTTGTGCTCTTTTGCTTCTTCTCTCCTTTGCTGTATCTGAATCAACAATGTCTGCCCTAAGGCAATCCAGAGTTCCTGAGAATGAAAGATGTTCACCAAAGTACATCCTATAGCACAATGGTACTACATCCTGAGACTGAATTCCTGTGTGGCTCAGAAGGGGTTTGAAAACAACCTATCAAAAATAAAGTCAGGTGTTTTCTTAAATCGTAACTATTGAAATTGTCATTCATTAAATGTTACTACACTTTTGAAAAGGCTTCCAATGTTTTAAAGCAGTAAAAGATTACAAGTTGACATAATTAATTTAATGTCTTTGTGTATCTTTCAATTTAATTAAACAAAAGTAAGGAATAATTCTCATGCCAATGTTGGAGAGATGAAAACCTAGGATTGTGAAAATTATTATGTTGACAGGAAATGCATGTCTCCAATTCTTAAACTGGAAAACAATTATGTTGATTTGAAAAGTCAAGTGGAAAAAGCTTCAGATTTAAAGCCTAGCACTAATATATAAATATAGAGCTTGAATATTTTATCTTTCAGTATATATACAACTTTATTTTCCTGTAACAAAACAGCCTAATTAGTTTGGTATAGCCCCAAAGTCAGGCACCTTGGCTTTGTGCCTAAGGCAGGACTAAAATTCAGTCTACTGACTTAACCACTATACAATAAACTGGCTCTTTTTATCATGCCTGGGCTCCGATTTTAAAGATAAGCATATACCTGTGCATCAGCAAGTTGAACAGCAGGGAATCCCTGGTTTGCCTCCTCAATACCAACAATATCATCTTGGCTAGTACTGTGCTGTGAATGTGTTCCATCCAATGTGTTTTGGTCACTAGACATTACTGTATTGAAGTCAGATGCTGATGGTATAGTTGGAAGATTTGGAGCTACACCTATAAAACAGTTCATGTATTAATTTTCTAGTAGCAAACTTAGTTCTACTACATTCAGGATTCAGAAAGCTGAAAAATTATTCAGATAAAAGAAAACTTCAATCCTGAGGAAAATACACTGTGCATGACATCAATTTCAGTTGATGTATGTAAGCATCTGTGTGTGTCTGTCTATATACATGTCTACACACACAAACACACTACTGACACAGAATATGAAGAACGATCATGAATTCCAGCAGGTGAAAAATAGCCAAACATTTTTATCTCTTCAGAGCCTAAAATATCTGCACAATTACATTGCATTGTTTTCATTACTAGATAAAGCACATCAAACAAATACTGTATTCCCCTCAAAGGAATGTATTTTTTTCCAAGTACAGTCGCAATTGTGAAAGAGGACGTTTTTTCATTCTAAAATTTCTTGAGAGATTATTGCCTTGAATTCAGGACCATACCCATTTGGGATAACTATCTGTAATCAAACTTTCAACTTTGAGAATGATAATATATAGACTTTTTTCTTAAGGTCAAAAGGTATAAATATATCATTATATTCCAAACTAACTTCAACAGGACAGTTACTAAGAAAAATCTTCGTTGATGAATTTTTGAAAATATTTAGATGCTAGTAGAAAGTTTAAAGTTTCAAAGTTTAATAACACTTGTATGCCGCCCAATCCCGTAGGACTCCGGGCGGCTCACAATACAAATAAATCAAAAGGCATAGAGAAAAAGAAAAGATTGAATTGAATTGAATTGAA